AGAGGTGGCTGCGGAGAGGGCAGGACAGGGGCAGCTCAGGGCTCAGAGGTGGCTGCGGAGAGGGCAGGACAGGGGCAGCTCAGGGCTCAGAGGTGACTGGGGAGAGGGCAGGACAGGGGCAGCTCAGGGCTCAGAGGCCCCAGGATGTTTTATCACCTCACCTCCACCACATCACCCCACTGGCACAGACTACGGAACCCACAATAGATAGCTCTTAATTTTCCATTTGGCAAAACTAAGTGTCTGTTCTGAGTGTTAAAAGTTGTGCATGTATATTCAAGTATAACTTTGTCACGGCATTTCTACAACACACCCTCCAGCGAAGGCTCAGAGGCTAGAGGTGACAGATGCTTCCTGCACTGAGTGCCACCTGGGGCTACAGCAAGGAGGCCTGGGAGCAGTGAGGGGCCAACAGCAGGCAGGAGACCCAGGCCTGTACCTGCGGCACTAAGTCCTTTCACCGGCCCCAAGGTCACCTACCTCACATCACAAAATATCTCTAGGCATATGTGTGTCTTAATTATTTGTGAGAGGGTCAGGGGAAGAGGGCACCACTGAGGTCCCTCCTTCAGACCCAGCCACAAGGTCACTTTGTGGCTATATTCTCCTCATTTGAAATAATTATTTAGGTTTTCTCAGTAGTTCTTTTTTTCAGTCTCCTTAATAGTCTCACAGGAGCAATTTGAGCTAGAGACAAACTGAGACCCTCCCAACGGCTGAGTTGAAATAAATGCTGAAAAGGAACAAGCAGGGGAATGGGCCCCACTGCAGTGCCACCCTCAGAGGGGCCCCTGGTGCCCAGGACACACACCCCACCACTGCAGGGCCACCCTCAGAGGGGCCCCCGGTGCCCAGGACACACACCCCACCACTGCAGCGCCACCCTCAGAGGGGCCCCTGGTGCCCAGGACACACACCCCACCACTGCAGCGCCACCCTCAGAGGGGCCCCTGGTGCCCAGGACACACACCCCACCACTGCAGCGCCACCCTCAGAGGGGCCCCTGGTGCCCAGGACGCCCCCCCCACTGGGTAGCACGTCTGGGCCTCAGGGTACAGCCTGCCAGGCAGGCGGCCAGGCTACAGCAGGCAGCACCTGCTATTTCCCTCCAGGAGCTGTGTTTAGAATCACTGGACACCTGGGCACCCCTGGGAGGTGAGCTCACTGCTCAAGACACAGCCCTCTCCTTCCCATTTACAAACGTGGCTGAGGGCAGAAGACCCCAAACCAGCCCAGAGCCGCAGACCTCAGCACTACCTGCAGCACCCCAGCACCTCGGGGCTCTCTCGAGCAGGTGGGACCTGCTGGTGGGGGGCTGGTTGTTCCTTGTCCCCAACCATCGAGCCGAGCACTCTGAGCCCACAGCAGCCAAGAGAAAGCAGAAGTGGCCTTGGCGTGGGGGTTTCTAACCTGCTCCAAGTGTCCCCATGTGCAGCCACAACTACAGTCGGGGGCAAGGTGGCACCAGCACCAGCGTGTCATGCAGTTATAATACACATGCCCCATTGGCGCTGCTCCCTCAGGCCCTTCCCTCTACTGGCGTGGATGCCGCACGCCAAGGCACACGTGTCCCACCCCTGCAGGCAGGATGTAGAGAACGGCAGTGGTAACAAAGCCGAGATGCAGCTCAAGGGGACCAGAGGTCAATCCCAGGAGGCCGAGGACGGCGTGCTGCCCACCTGAGGGTAGCTCTCCCAAAACAACTCCAAACAAGAAGGAAAGGAGGTCCACAGGACATCACACACTCTGCACAGGGGAGGACCAGGAATGGCCAAGCTTCCCAGTAACTGCAAGTGAAAGAGTCCAGCGTCATGGAGTGTCTCAGTGGGCAGCTGAGGTCAGTCACTGCAGGGTGTGAGGGCACGAGGAAGTGACCTGGGGCATGAGACGGAAGGGGTCCTCACAAGGCAGGAGGGAGTGTCCTGCAGAGCCCCTGACAAGAGTCTCCCCAGGGGACAGGTGCCACCCAACAAGATTGGGGACAGGTGCAATTGGAACAGCCACTGGTGGCCTGCACTTTGCAATGCTGCCAGGAGAGGGCGCCATGGCACCACAGATGCTGGAAAACACCAAGAACCTGGGAAAGGAGCGGGACCAGGCAGAGCTGCGGCCGGTCAGAAAACTAGTTTCCACACGCACCAGGGCCAAATCCACCCTCGAAAAACGGAAGGAAACTGTCAGTCAATGCTTTCAACAAAGTAGAACATACTTAAAACCATCTCCTAAAATTTTAAGAATATGAAAATTACCTTGAACCACATCTCCCAAAACTAAGAAACAGATTTACAATCAAACAACATTAAGAAAAGAAAAATAAACAGAAGGAAAGGAAATTGGAGTTGAGTGAACTCAAGATAGAAATGGAAGGAAGAGCCCAGGTGCGGTGGCTCGGGCCTGTGATCCCAGCACAGCTGAGCTGAGTGGACTGCTTGAGGTCAGGAGTTCAAGACCAGCCTGAGCAAGATGGAGACCCTGTCTCTACTAAAAATAGAAAAACCAGCCAGGTGTTGTGGCAGCACCTGTAGTCCCAGCTACTTGGAGGCTGAGGTAGGAGGACTGCTTGAGCCCAACAGTTTGAGGTTGCTGTGAGCTGTGGGTCCTCTGGGCAGGGCCACAGAGTGAGACTGTGTCTCAAAAAGAAAAAGGCGGCTCAGCGCCTGTGGCTCAAGTGGCTAAGGCGCCAGCCACATACACCTGAGCTGGCGGG